ACTGTATTGCATCTTATGGGATCTGAGGAGATTACATCATTGTACCCTCTCGTACAACCTGACAAAGATTAGTAATTGTGAACCATCTATCATGATCAGAAATGATCAGCAGAAGAAGAAATTTATTTTATGCTGAGCTGAAAACTGTACAATACATGCCAGCATAAATTCTGATTATGTAGCTGATGAGATGATACAATTTCAAATTATTCAATAGTGAATTATTGTGGGTCAGAATCTGGATTTAGATAAGATTTCATCTGGGCCCTATTCGTATTTAGATGGGCTTATCTCTTCAGTATTTGTAAGGTACTGTACTTGAGAACATCAAGTGGCCCATTATTGTTTGTTTCTACATGGCATAGCACATAAGCATACATTTCACTACTTGTGACTTTTAGTTTTTGACAAATGAATTTTTAGTTTTGGTCACTTTCGTTTTTTGTTAATTAGGAAGAAAACAGAAACCTATTGAGTGTTTAACCTTTTTTTTTTTTTCTTCTTTAAAATATAATGGTTTTTCTTTTTAAATTGTAATGTTTGGCCAATGATGAAGTGATGGGCCGTGCAGGCCCATATACTTTTGACTATCATGAATCATTATGTTGAAACCCAATTATGGCTTCTACTCTTTTTTAATTCACTTTCTTTTGCATCCCAAGCCACCGACACAATTTTTAAGCTTTCTAGTTTCTAGTTGTTGATATGACTTTGGACCTAACTTTTCAGTCTTCCCTTGTTTTTGGGGGTTAGTGTTAATTGGAAGTTCTTATAGAACAATAATGTGGTGATTGTTATGTATTCTACAAAAAAAAGTTTGCTTTATTAAGCTAAATCTAAGGATGGTGGAGAGGTGACAATATGGTTCCACGACATGAAATACGTACATGATACGATTGGAAAACACAATTGTAGAGATAAATAATACGATTGGAAAACACAATTGTAGAGATAAATAATACGATAGGCAAGACACAACACAACAGGTACTATGACGTGACAATAGTTAAATTATTTAGTATCAAGCAAAATAGACAACACAAAAGCACGATTATGAAACACGAGAAGGGCACAATAGCACAATTTGTCACTTATACGATTTTGATTGTAAATTGTAGATCTCACATGATTAATTAGGGTTTAAACTCCTTGAATTTCTTCAATTAGGGTTTAAACTCTGCATACTGTGGTTTATTTGGGATTTTATTAGCCCTTGAAAAAAATGACATTTTCTTTGTTCATTCTGGTTATGTATGAGGAATCTTTAAGAGTGCAATCAATCTCTAATTTCAGTCAAAGCACTGTAGTTTCTTGTTTGCCTAAGTCTTTTTGGAATTGGGAGTATCATTTTGTCATTTAGCCCTCATTTTTTTTTTTTTTACTTAATCCAATTTTCTAATTTGGGTTTTGTCTCTATATATAAATTATAAAGGCTATGTTTGATAAAATTAACTGATAGCTTATCAGTAGTTTTTGAGCTTATAGATTATGATATATAGCTGAAAAGCTAGCTTATATGATAAAAATGTTTGGTGAAATTAGCTGATAAGCTAGCTGAAATAAAAATTTCAACGAGCTTATTTGAAAAACTACCCAAAGAAGCTTATGAGATAAGTTCGAGTTTTTTTAAAAAAACTCGTCTTACCAAACGAAACTTATTTGAATATAGGAAGCTTATAAGCTAACCAAATAAGATATATAAGCTAGCTTATTTGTCCACCAAACATAGCCATAGTCGAAGTTTAGAAATAATAAATTAGGCTCCTGAGATTATAGATGGAATCTTTATGCAAACCACATGAGATAGTTGAATCATTTTATGTGAGGTTGAACGGGAGATGAAATATTAGTCTTTAGATTTAGACATTAATTTCCTCTGTTAGGCTTTCTAAAGTTATAACAACAATATTTTTCATTGAAGATATATCTGTATATAACTATATATTCATACTAAATGCTCATATTTAAAATTATAATATAAATAAAAGTATAACATTTGATATGAGTTTTTTAAGCAAATCAAACAACATCGGCATTTGTACTAAGTTTATTAACAAGCACGTTCATAACATAACATATGATTATGTGCTTGTTACAACTTACATGCATTCAATTATTTATTGTGGCGGTTGTTTCAAGGAAAAATTAAATGAAACGGATGCAAACGAGTCGAGCAGCTCGCGAGCGCTCGAGTCAAAGCTCGGTTCGAGCTCGAGTTTGACCGAAATCAAGTCGAGCTCGAGCCCATATTTTAGCTTGTCGAGCGGCTCGAGATATATGAAATTACTAAAATACCCTTGTATATATATGTATTTATTGGTTATTTTACAAAATTGTTTGAAAAAATTCGAACCGAACTCGAACCGAGCTCGAGTATTTTGAATTCGAGTCGACCTCGAGTCGAGCTCGAGCTCTTGTATTTTTTTATCGAGTCGAGCTCGAGCATCATAAATCGAGCTCGACGAGCTCGAGCAGCAGAAAAAAAATTCAATCCTGCTCGATAAGACCAATGCTCAACTCGGCTCGACTCGTTTGCAGCCCTGACAATATGGATTATATTTCTTTGTTCATTCCATGCCAACCCATAATGCACATAAATCCATTAACAAACATATCCTTGTTGACTCTTTCCCACATTGGGAAACAGGTAAAAGTGAAATAGTAATAAATAACCTAATTTGCATATGGTTGCACTTGATTCTATAGGCCAACCCATAATGCACATATCGCGCAATTATAGGTAATTAATTATATAATATTTTTTTATTAAAAAAATTAGAGTTTGAATATATAGTTACGAGGGTCTAGGGTCAACTATTTCATCCCCTATATATTAATTCAGGTGGTAGACTCCCATGTTTTGGGATTATATGTGCCAGAATTACATACTTCGTTATTAAGTTTGGGTAGATTTTAATTTACTTCAAATCCATACATAATTATGTCCTGATTATCCACAAATATGTTAATGATTTATAGTCATGTTACATGTATTAATTGTATTTTAATATCATTTCTTATTATATTCATTGAATTGCAAAATGTATTATAAATGTTAATAACTTTTTCATCAGTTTTACATATATAATATATCAAATTAATCATTTCTTGATTAACTTCGATCTATATTGTATGTATATAAAAATAAATTATATTTATATGTATAACAATAATAATTTTTTTAATATTAATTTAAAAAATAAAATTATTTATTAATTAATATATTTATATTTCAAGTGGTTATATGATATAAGTTATAAAATTACTATAATATAACACATGTAAATCGCACCAATAACAAGTGTCATTCTAAACTACATGATAATACATATTTTTTGCAAAAAAAATAAATAAAATTTAAAATAATTCTTTAACAAGCATTCGTGTAACACACGGGTGTTGTACTATTTAGTCACTATTCAAGATAATTTTGTCCTTAAATTTGCAACTAGTTCCCTGTAATTAGTTGGCTCACTTATATTTAAATATTTATAATTTAAACAACAAAGTTAACACAACATATGGTGGAATGTTAGGCCACCAAACTAACATTGTAAGTAAGTATTTATATAATAAAATGATTAAACTCTTTAGAATCTTAGACCTAATTTGTAACAAATTATATAATTTTTTTAACTCAAATTTAACACAACTCACTTATCAATATTATTATAATAATTAGATAATACCAATCAGTCATATCTAGACATGCCATCAACTCATGTAATTTTACTTATCCATGACAATCAATAACATTTCTTCTAACTTTACATCAAGTTATTTATAATTATTCTACTACAATATTATTCTAATAAAAATTCAAAATCTCATTCAAACTTAATTCATCAAATTTTTAAAAAAATTTATTTGTCTAACAAATTCAATCAAAACCAAAATAACTTATATCAAGCACCCCTTACAGTCTTCTAAACGAATTACCTCTCTTGCTTTTTTTCTTCAACGCCTTATAAATTCTTTCGTTTCTTATCATTTAAAAATCTTAAAAGTCAACATTTATTTTATCATCCACAAACCAAAAACCATTATTCATTTATCTCATTTTTCTCCAATCACATACTTTAGTACTTCTTAAATTAATCAAATTTTCTCACATCATAATTAAATTTTATACTTCATATTACATTACTTAGATTAAATAAAAATATTAATTCTTCAACTAACTTCCTTTCATCTACAATTTTATTTTTTTCACCACAAAACCATAGTCACAGCTTAATTATTTTTTAATTGGAGAAACAACAATTTAATAATAATAAAAAAAAGAAACAATTTTTCACATCTATTTTCAAGTGATGATAAGATCTATCATCTAACATGAGTCCTGCTGTAAATAAAGTCGCATTTGATGCGACTGTAAAACAACTATAAACACGGGGAAGATACCACAGTCCCTTTACGGAACCATTCGGTCGGTTTTGTATCGAAGCAAAATTTAAGTGGCATATATCTGAAAGACTACACCATCTGTTGATAACTAGGTACAATCTCAGATTCTCAGTAGAGTAGCATTTCAAAAACACCAAAAGATAAATTAAAATAACCAAAAAGGAAAGTGAAGAATAACAAAACTCTTCTAAGTTCTGAGCCCAGAGTTAAAAAATAAATAAAAAATTTTAAAAAATAATGCATTTCTTTTATAGGAAATATGAAAAGACAGCTCTCACTTCTTATTATACTTCTTCTTCTTCTACACTTGCCCTCAAATCTCAGTGACCTCCCACCACTTTTTTTTTTTT